TCCGACCCATAGCGACCCTGTACAGGGTTTCCGAGGGTGTAAATCTTTACGGGAGTAGAAAGCCTCATCTTTCTCCCGCATTAGAGAGATACAAATTGAAACAACAATGAAATCTAATTTCACTCCTTCAAAAATGGCACTGATACAAAAACAGAAAACAACAAATGCTGGTGAGGTTGTGGGGAGTGTGGAACTCTCATACACTGTTGTTTGAAATGTAAAATGGTGCAATCACTGTGCAATATGGTGCTGTACTACCTCAAAAAACTGGGAATAGAAATACCATGTGATCCAGCAATCCCACTCTTAAGTATATATCCTAGAGCAATAAGAGCTGTGATACAAATAGATATATGCACAGCCACATTTGTTGTAGCATAATTCACAATAGCAAAAAAATGGGAACAACTTTAGTGCCTTTAATGGATGAATGGACAAACTGTGGTACGTACACAAACTGGAGTACCATACAATGTTGAAGAATAATGATGAGTCTGTAAAACATCTCACAGCATGGATGAACCTGAAGGACATTTTGCTGAAATAAATTGATTACAAAAGGACAAATACTGTGTAAGATCATTATTATAAAAAGTCAAAGAATGTTTATGTGCAGAAAGAAACATTCTTTAATGGTTATCAGGAATGGAAGGGGAAAATCACTAACTAGATAGTAGATGTGTGCTAACTTTGGTGAAGTGAAAGACAATACACAATATGAGACAACACACAATCCAACATAACCAAGGTAAAGGAAAACACCAAAAGGTACACAAGCATAAAAGGCAACAATGGTAAATACTATTACATATACAATCTTGCAACAACAGTATAGCAAACAGTAATGTACTAGTGGACACATAGGTAATGTCAACTGAATGGAGTGGGAAGGCATACTAGAATACACCTCATGCATATACAGGGTTGGCAGAAGATATTCCTACACATTTATTTGTACAGGCTGCAATTAAACCCATGTGTATAATTGAGTGTATTGGGCCACAGTCAAGAAAACCACTTAGCCATAACCAAACACTTCCTAGCACTGAGATACTGGGCTTCAGGGCTAGAGACCATAGTCTTACGAACACTTATGCGTAATAGTCCATAAACATAATGCCCTACATCCTGCTTTGATGAGTAGTGATTGAGGTCTTAGAACCTTGTGAGTGGCCATCTAAGCTACAATTATTGGTCTGTTTCTGTGTGGAGCAAATATGAGTGAAGAAAATGGAAGACTCAAGGAAACTGTTAGTTTAAGGGATTAAGGGACCACATGAGCCTCAACCTCCACGAACCTGAGACCAGAAGAACTAGATGGTGTCCAGCTGCTTCCACTGACCTGTTCTAACCAGGACCACGTTAGAAGGTACTAAGATAGAGTGAGAGGTAAAAAAAGGAAAAAAATCAAATTCATAAAAAAGACCAGGCTTACTGGTCTGTTAGAGACTGGTGGAACCCCTGAGACAATGGCCCTTAGACACACTTTTAACTTAGAACTGAAGGCACATAAAAGGCCTGTAAAGTGGACAGTAACACCCAGGAGGAACATGCTCCTCAGTACAATCAGCTATATGAGATCAAAGGGCAACATTAGTCTGAAAGCAAAGTTAGGGCAGGAAGAGGCAGGAATTGGGGAACCTCAAGGTCGAAATGAGAGAGTGCTGACACATTATGGGGTTGCAACTAATGTTATAGAACAATCTGTATATAAATTGCTGAATGGAAAAATAATTTTCTCTGTATGCTTTCACCGAAATCACACACATGCACCCAAAGAAGAATCATTTAAGCTTTGTCATTCCATTGAATGGACATAAGAATTCATTGAAATCATTTTTAAATGCTAGAAAAGAGAGACTAATACATACAAATAACTGGGACATAAATAATTTTCAGGATGTGTGATGATGACTTTTATATTGATCAATTTAAGTAAAGTTTAATGATGGGAAAGAGTTATGTGTGTGCATTATTAAAGCATGTGATTGAGCCAAAACTATTATCTTAACCTCTTTTAAAATTTGTGTTCACTCTGCATTTGG